GAATTCTCCAGCCAGCCATGCTGGCTGGGGAATTCTGGGAGTTGAAGTCCACACGTCTTAACATTGCCAAGGTTGAGAAGCACTGATCTAAGGGGACTCCTCAAATTTCAGAGCTCCAGTAGCTGTGGGTGGTCAGTTGTAGCCCTTTTTTCAGTAGTGAGCAACGTCAAGGACGTTCTTCAGCCTTTGAGAAATGTGCTCGAGCACCGGGTGCTTCTTCCTCACACCCGACACCTTCATCCCCTATCCAGCGAACCCAATAGCAGCAGAAACACAACCAGTCCCTTCTGCTGTACTGGCTAGCCCAGAAACATTTGCATTTTAAAGCCTATTTTGTTTCAGTCTTAAAACACTGAGGTCTGAAGGACACTGAGGAGGCCAGGTCGCAAAGTTTTGCATATGTTTTGCTGCTAAACATGTTTTTAATAAATTAATTAGAGTGTTCATCTGCATTTGTTTCAAGCAAGGTTTCTGCTGGATATGGAATTGAGATTCCCTTGGTTATCTGAGTGAACCGGCTACTCTGGAAACAGACCGGAGGGAGTGAATGTGGCCCGGCCAGTTCTCTCGGACCTCTCAGCTGTTTTAAATCTGGTCATCACATAGACTGGACTTTGGGGACACTGTTCTGCATTTTCTGCCAGACTGTATCCAAAAAGCGATGCTGGAAGACTACAGTTTGCCAGCGACCGAGGTGTCCCTGATGCTATTCCAAGTATCTTTAGAATTGCTAGGAAAGTAATCTGGAGCTCTGAAGCGGAGTGCCTTCAATATATTGATGAGAGAAACTCTAATCTCCTTCAAGCTGGATGTAGGAACAGAAAAGCTCGCTCCCTACATCCAACCTGAAGGGGATTAGAGTTCAAATTCAGTAGTGAGCTGTGTAAAACCCAGATAAGACAGAGAGACTATTGGTCAATAGGAACTGAGGTTCAGCATACTCTGCAGGGAAACTATACTTGGGACTGGATGGGAGAGTGTAAAAGTCTGCTAGTTCCGCTAGGCCTTTTGGCCTTTTTAAGTACCATCAAAAGCAATAACTTTTTGAACAATCCAAAGAGAGAGGGCACCAGGGGCACTATTTTCTAGAGGTTCTTCCTTTTAGGCTATGTCGAGGAAGTAGGGCTGGGGAGTTACTGTTTATTAGCCTAAAGGGTCTCACGGGGTTCTAGTTTGTCTCCCACACTGATGTTGGACTTGAGCGTTGGACTTTGACCGGTTTGCTTAGACCCTAATCAGAATACAACACAAAACACCTACTTTCCATCTAACAGGGAAGGTAGAGTGTGAGAAAGCTATAAATGTAATACAACTTTATTTCAACAAAATGTTTTGACAACGTACTTCAACGAGCAAGTGGGAACTCATTTGGCTTCTAAGACCTTGGCAGGGAGAGGAAATAAGGGAACTCTTTCCAGCTGCAGGAATAAAACCATGCCCAGATGGATGCCCGTGTGAAGTGGGTGGCACCAAAAACACCCCTGAATTTTGCAGCATCTTGAAAATGACCCACTGAGGTATTTTTTCAAATTAACAAAACGGTCCCTCTTTCCGTCTCCTTGTGTGCCTGTGCGTGGGGCGGGGCGGGGCGGGGAGATGGAACCCCTCCCTTTCAGGGGGCAGACGGTGCACTAACTGGCCCGAGGGACAAGAGGAGCTTTCTGCAAAGACCAGGACTGCCTGGGTTTTTTCTTTCTTTTTTGCAACAGCAACGATTTCGTTGCCAGGAAAGGCTTCTTTTTTCTGGGAGGGGCTGGTCCAGAGGCTAAAAGCTGCTTGTTCCAACCTCCAGAATTTCTCTTGGCACTGTATTAAGTGGTCTAAAAGCCCAGGGCTCAGGTGGCTGACTCCAGCTGAACGAGAACGCCAGGCGCCTTCCCAGCCATCTGGATTCCTCTCCCTCGTGTGGCCGCAGAAGGAACGGAGGGCTGAAGGAAGTCCAGCCGGATGCCACTCGGCTAGCCGGGAAGGAAGCGAACGGCCTGAGGACGGGGCTGGCGGGTTTGGGCCACAGCCCGCTCCGTCTCTCAGGGCTGGCAAGGCCTTCGGGCAAGGCAGGACCAGGCAAAGTCACTGGCAGCCAAGGGCCAGGCAAAAAATGGAACCGAAAACATAAGCGTGATTTGCACATGTAGCACGCGTGGCTACCACATTTGGTCCCCTTTTCTTGGAAGGCACCTGGTTATTTATTGTCACCTTATGTCACAAAAACACAGTAGCAGCATCAAGAACAAACGACATCTCTTCTGTGCCACGTGGTTTGTCAGGAAAAGCGTTCCTAGAAAAAGTGTCCCAGAACAGGAACAGGGACGCCGACTTCAGGAAAGACGGCCTGAACCTCCTTTGCTACCCGTCCGACTCATCGCCTTCAACCAGCTGAAGAGCTCCGGTCCCAGCACAGATCCCTGGGTTCTCCACCATTTTGCTCTCTCCCATGGGAGATCTCTCTGGGGGCAGGATGGGTTACTCCACAGAGGCCCAAGGAGGCCTATGGGAAAAGGTGCCCCTTTCCTGATGCCAGGTGCCTCAGATTCATTTGACTTTTGTCCAAAAGCTTAAGGGAGATGCCGCAGGAGTTGGCCTTCATTTTACACCCTCGAGGGGTTGGCTGGACTGAGAGAGAGAGACTGGCCCAAAGGTGCTCCCTGAGGTTAAGTGGCTGAAGATGGACTTGGACGTGGGTCTCCCTGGCCCCAGACCAACAACTTCACGCTCCACCACACCAGCACACCACACACTCTCTGACTGACCACAGAACTGGTTCACAAAGCAATCTTGCTCCGAAATGAGCTAAAATCCTCTTCAAATCTTTCACCTTACATTCTTCTTTCCGCCTTGTGTTGGCAACTGAGACCTCTGCAGTGCAAACCTAAGCCGTCGGAAGAAAATAAGCCTTCACAGAATCTCTCGTGGATCCGCTTTCCTAATACTCCAATTTAGGGCTCGTTCCTCATCTCTCTGAAGGTATCCCGGCGCCTCAAAGTGCCTAACACCAGTCTAACAGCCTTCGCTCCAGCTGCGAGCGAAGTCACAGGCCTGGGCGCCCACGGCTTCATTTCTTTGACGCCGGCCACCGTCCAGCCCCGCCTCGTTCTCTGTTGCTGGGCACAGCCTCCTGTGCCTTTTTCTGATCTCTGTTCAGGATCGGCTGTTGCTGACCCTGCAGGCAAACTGGCCATTCCTCCCTGATAGACGGCGGAGGGCGGGGATGAGTCCGAGGGAGAGGAAACCAGAAGAATCTTTCTCCTGGGCGGATTTCTCCAGGGAGCAACAGGCACACACGCTTCCCTCATCCAGACCAACCCATTTTGAACTTGACATTCAGGCTTTTGAGTTCTACCAGCAATTGTATATTCCTGATTAATCATGTTTATTTTAATATGTAGTGGTCAGAGTAAGTGAGGACTGGCGGACAGGCATTAAATGTTCATTTCAGCCTCCCTGCTTGGAATACCAGCCTTCATCATTGGCTATGAGGCAAACAACTTGACCATGAAAAGGTCTATGGTAAGCTGTGGCCAGATCTGGCTCCTCTAAATGCCCAGTCCGGTTTTTGCGATCTCACCCATCGGGTTTTCCAGAGCTGTGGGACTTTGAAGAAAAGGCAGTGCTTGTTCATGAGTTACGAGCGCAGGGAAGCCCGCGTGCACCCACTTAACGCTGGGCTGGTCCTCACTGGTTATGTCTCCATCCCACCTCCCTTCCAGGAGCTTCTCCTATCATCAGGTTTTCCTCACAGCAACCCTTCAGGAGATGGTCTTATTACACAGCATTGTGGAGGTAAAGAAAGGCCTGTTAGGGCAGTGTGACTGATCAAAGCCGAAAGAAACCTTTTTTTTTTTTTTCCAGAGATCACTGTACTTCAGCTGGAACATGAGTTGGATTATATTCCTGGCTAGAAATACTGCAGGGAGTTGTAGCGTTTGTAGGCTTGTACAGTCATGCTGCAGAGAGGACGATCAATTATGAATGGAATTCATTCTTGAAGAGAAAAGCTTTTGCAAGCTGGACAGACCACAGGGAATAGGTTTATGAACTGTATTACAAAAATGCATTTTAAATGACTGATTTCCAATGTCACATGGTGACGGGTGGGCAAAAATCACCGCTTTACATAATGGCATCAAGCAATTACTG